GCTTTCGTGGGCCGTCTTGAGGGCCTCTTGGGGCCCTGTGGCCCGTCTTGGGTTTTCTTGGGGACTCGAAAAAGTCATGCGGGAACATTCAGGGGCCCCCCCCAGAGGGCGCGCGGGGAGCCTCAAAGATTTGAGAGCTTAGGGTCCGGCCGGGTCCATTAAGAATCCTCAGGCTTGACGACCGAGGCTCAGGGGAGAGCAAGGGACCTGGGGAAGCTTGTTGGGGGTCGTTTTGGGGCCTCTTGGGGCCTCTTTCGGGCCTCTTGGTGGTCTTCTGGGGCCTCCTGGGGGCTTCTTGGGGGCCTGTGGGCCCCCCCGCCCCCGAGCATTAAATGCGTCAGGAATGGCGTCCCCCTCCTCTCCTTCCAGAGCCTCCTGGGGGCTTCTTGGGGGCCTGTGGGCCCTCTGCCACCGAGCATTAAATGCGTTGGAAATGGCGCCCCCCCCCTTGCAGAGCGAAGCTTGAGCGAGCTCAAGTCCACGCTCTCAGAAACTCACACGCCAGACCGGCGGATATCTCCTCCTCCTGAGGATCCGCTGGGGAAAGCCTGTCTACAGCAATGCCATTGGTTGACCCATTGGTCTAGAGTCTTCAGAGAGGTTCGACGGATGCAGTTGCCGTTCTCAGAAATTCGAGTTGTCGCGTAGGCCGAACAGAGCGATCAGCGATGGGTTCACGACGCCGAGAGAGGTAGTAGTGTTCGAGGTGCTGTGCCCAGTGTCCTCAGAGATTTTTCACGGACCCCTTGCCTTCTCCTCCACCACGGGTGCCCCCAGCAGCTCGCTTCCGTTCTGGAGCCCCGGGGCCCTCGAAGGATTGCAAAAAACCCTAGGATTGCAAAAAAACCATAGGATTTGCAATCCTTCAATCCTTCGTTTTTTTGCAATCCTTCGGCCTCGTGTGACGGGGTGCTCTCTGGACATCCTCGGCTGTCCCGCGGGGCACCTCCCTCCGGCCGGGGGCGGGCGCACGCCTCCTGCCGCCCCCTCCTTCGCGGTGCACCCGGGCTGCCGCGTGCAGGGCCCGCCTCCTTCTCCGCCCACCCTGGGCCCTTTCTTCCTCTCTCTTGGCTCTCCCTCTCCCCCCTCCTCCCTCTCCCTCTCCGTTCTTCCTCCTCCCTCCTCCCTCTCCCCCCTCCGTTTCTTCCTCTCTTGGTTCTCCCTCTCCCCCCCTCCTCCCTTCTCGCTCCCCGTCCCCCTGAGATCGGGCCGGTGCAGTTTTCCGCACCGCGGGTGTTTGCTTGGTTTCGGGCCCCGGGCACCATCACAGATCGATCTGGCTCGAAGAATGATGCAGAACGATGAGGTTTAGTCTAGGGCTCGGGTCGTTCTTTATCCCAACCATCCTGTGGTGTTGGGCTCTCGTTTTGAATGCTTCTGCTCGCCGCATGTCCACCATGTCGGCACACCCCTCACGAGGATCGTGGCCCCTTAGGGAGCTCCACCGAAGGTCCCAGGGGCAGGGTTTGCATGCGTCCCCCCGCCCATTTCGGCACCACCTCACGAGGATCGTGGCCCCATAGGGAGCTCCACCGAAGGCCCCAGCTGCAGGGATTGCATGCGTCCCCCCGCTGATTTCTGCACGCCCCGCACGAGGATCGTGGCCCCATGGGGAGCTCCACCGAAGGCCCCAGCGGCAGGGTTTGCATGCGTCCCCCCGCCCTTGTCGGCACACCCCTCAAGGGGATCGTGGCCCCATCGGTGGCTCCACCGAAGGGCCCAGCGGCAGGATTTGTATGCGTCCCCCTGTCCATTTCAGCACACCCCTCACGAGGATCGCGGCCCCATGAGGAGCTCCACCGAAGGCCCCAGCGGCAGGGATTGCATGCGTCCCCAAGCCGATTTCGGCACACCCCCCACAAGGATCGTGGCCCCATAGGGAGCTCCACCGAAGGCCCCAGCGGCAGGGTTTGCATGCGTCCCCCCGCTGATTTCTGCACACCCCTCAAGAGGATCGTGGCCCCATAGGGAGCTCCACCGAAGGTCCCAGGGGCAGGGTTTGCATGCGTCCCCCCGCTGATTCTGCACACCCCTCAAGAGGATCGCGGCCCCATAGGGAGCTCCACCGAAGGTCCCAGCTGCAGGGTTTGCATGCGTCCCCCCGCTGATTTCTGCACATCCCTCAAGAGGAACGCGGTCCCATAGGGAGCTCCTCTGAAGGCCCCAGCGGCATGGTTTGCATGCGTCCCCCTGTCCATTTCGGCACACCCCTCACGAGGATCGCGGCCCCATGAGGAGCTCCACCGAAGGCCCCAGCGGCAGGGATTGCATGCGTCCCCAAGCCGATTTCGGAACACCCCTCACAAGGATCGTGGCCCCATAGAGAGCTCCACCGAAGGCCCCAGCGGCAGGGTTTGCATGCGTCCCCCCGCTGATTTCTGCACACCCCTCAAGAGGATCGTGGCCCCATAGGGAGCTCCACCGAAGGTCCCAGGGGCAGGGTTTGCATGCGTCCCTCCGCTGATTTCGGCACACCCCTCAAGAGGATCGCGGCCCCATAGGGAGCTCCACCGAAGGCCCCAGCTGCAGGGATTGCATGTCCCCCCGCTGATTTCTGCACACCCCTCACAAGGAACGCGGTCCCATAGGGAGATCCTGTGAAGGCCCCAGCGGCATGGTTTGCATGCGTCCCCCTGTCCATTTCGGCACACCCCTCACGAGGATCGCGGCCCCATGAGGAGCTCCACCGAAGGCCCCAGCGGCAGGGATTGCATGCGTCCCCGGGCCGATTTCGGCACACCCCTCACGAGGACCGTGGCCCCATAGGGAGCTCCACCGAAGGTCCCAGCGGCAGGGTTTGCATGCGTCCCCCCGCTGATTTCTGCACACCCCTCAAGAGGATCGTGGCCCCATAGGGAGCTCCACCGAAGGCCCAGCGGCAGGGTTTGCATGCGTCCCCCCGCCCTTGCCGGCACACCCCTCAAGGGGATCGTGGCCCCATAGGGAGCTCCACCGAAGGCCCCATCGGCAGTGTTTGCATGCGTCCCCCCGCCCATTTCGGCACACCCATCACGAGGATCGTGGCCCCATGGGGAGCTCCACCGAAGGCCCTAGCGGCAGGGTTTGCATGCGTCCCCCCGCCCTTGCCGGCACACCCCTCAAGGGGATCGTGGCCCCATAGGGAGCTCCACCGAAGGCCCCATCGGCAGTGTTTGCATGCGTCCCCCCGCCCATTTCGGCACACCCATCACGAGGATCGTGGCCCCATGGGGAGCTCCACCGAAGGCCCTAGCGGCAGGGTTTGCATGCGTCCCCCCGCTGATTTCTGCACACCCCTCACGAGGATCGTGGCCCCGTCCCGCCCATGTTGGCTCACCCCTCAAGAGGATCGTGGCCCCATAGGGAGCTCCACCGAAGGCCCCAGCGGGAGGTTTTGCATGCGTCCCTCCGCCCTTTTCTGCACATCCTTACGAGGATCGTGGCCCCATTGGGGGTTCCACCGAAATCGGTACCCACAACGTGGTATTCACAGCTGCATCTGGTTTGGTCCCTCGCCAGGATCGCTTTTGTTAGTCGTTGTATTTTTGTTAGCACAGTAGGACCTCAGGTTCCCTTATTTGTCGTATTGATCCAGCACCCCTCTCCTGCCCCCCCGTCCCTGCAGATTGCTTTTCTAGGGTCTGGCGATCTCCCAGGTTATCGGGCCCGCCCGTCTCGCACCCCCTCGCCCCAGATGACCTCGCCTTGTCGTCTACGCAGGCCCGAAGGGGGTACAGTAGGGGTCTTGAAGAAGGAACCCTTTTCGTTGGGGAGGGGCTCCGTGTTCCTTGATTGTTTCACAGCTTGCCTCAGGTTTTCCCAAGGTTTTCGATGGGGAATCGAAGTTTAACTTATGGGAAAGGAGGGGCCTCGTTCCTTATTTAGGGTTCCTTAGGTCAACGCCCCGACTGTACGCAGCACTGGTGCGCTTGGACATACGTGGGGCTTCCCGAAGCGAAAAGGGCTAGGTCTCCGACCGTCCCCGCCCCCCCCCTCCCCCACCGAAGGACGGCCTCCTCGTCCCTCCCTCCATTCTCTCTCCTTAGTGCCTGTCCTCTCCCGTTTCGTTATCCTCCCTCTCTTCGTCGCCGTCGCCTTCCTCCTCCTCCTCCTCCTTTTTTTTTTTTTTTCTCTCTCTCTCTCTCTCTCTCGAGAGAGAGAGAGAGAGAGAGAGAGAGAGAGAGAGAGAAAAAAAAACAAAACAACATAAACTAAACTCCCTTGGTGAAAACCGAGATTTTTAGCCGAGGCCGAGGAGGAGGATGAGAACTCCTCCTCCTCCTCCTCCTCCTCCTCCTCCTCCTCGGCCTCCGCATGCCAAACCATCCGGCCCCCGAAAACAGCCCCTTCGGTGCCCGTGCCAGCTCAGAACCCCCCCCCCCGATCAAGGGTGAGATGAGATGAGCGTACCGTCACACTTTCTCCTCCCTCTCCTCCCTCTCGTCGTCGTCGTCGTCGTCGTCGTCGTCGTCGTCGTCGTCGTCGTCGTCGTCGTTGTCGTCGTCCTTCTCCCCTTCCTCCCTCTCCTCCCTCGCCGTCCGTTTCGTTCTCCTCCCTCTCCTCGTCGTGGTCTTCCTCCCCACCCTCGGCCTCTCGGCTTGCTGCCCGCCCCCCCCCGCCCAGCGCCCCCTCCCGTGCCCGTTCCGGCTCAGAAATCTACCCAATCCAGGGTGGGATGAGATGAGTGCGCCATCACACTCCCTTATCCAGTGGCGCTGCCGCGCGATTCCGCCACCGCGCTCGGGCGGGCGGGGGGAGGAGGGGGCCCTGGGGGGGGGGGAGAGCGGGGAGGATCCACGGACCCCCCCCCTCCCCAGGGTGGTGTTCGTGCTTGGGGCCGCTCTCTGCCTGGGAGGCCAAGAGCGCGGGGCCTTGGCCACAACGGGGAGCGCGCATCCTGGGCTCGATGCGGCGGGGGGACCCGAACTTCTTGCCCCGCAGAACAGCGACAAAAGGGGCCCGACGCGCACCAGCCGCTGCGAGCGGCGGTGGCGGATCTTCTCTCCGCCCCCTGCGGGTCGATGGCAGGCGGCCCGGCCTCCCTCCTGGGGGGCCTGGTCGCCCTGCTGGCGCTCCGGCCGCTGAGCGCCATCCACGTCGGCCGCGTGAGCGGCCGGGCCTCCACTGCGAAGAGGGCGGCGTGGCAGAGGCTGGGCACCGTGAGCACCACGCACGTCGATCTCGGCAGCTACGCGGGGCCGACGAACGTCACGGGCATCGTCACCCACGCGGGGAAGCATGCCCTGGACTACATCGACAGCGCAGCCATGCTCGGGCTCGTGCTCCAGCGCCACCTGCCGGAGGTGCCCAGGTTCGCCATCGTGATCGAGGGGATGAAGGACTGTTTCCAGGCCCAGCTGAGGAACGCGGGTTGGCACCTCGTCATGGTCGAGGACTGGGGAGAGGAACACATCGGCGGCAGCGCGGATGCCAAATTCTTCGGCCGTTGGGGAGACAGTTTTGAGAAGCTGAACGTCTGGCGGTTCCCGCTGGATCGTGTGCTCTTCTTAGACTCTGACACCTACGTGTTCAGCGACAAGGTGCGCGAAATTCTTGACACCAAGCTTGAGCCTGGCCAGATCGGTATGACCAAGGACGGGTGCAAGCCAGAGCACAACAGCGGCATGATGCTCTTCAAGCCGCAGCTTTCTGTTTACGACGACTTGCTTCGAATGATCGCCGATCAAGGGTCTGCCGGCAACGGCCGAGAGATTCTTGATCAGACACTCGTGAATAAAAAGTACGAGGGGAACATCGTCACGATGGATTCGCGGTTCAATTGTGTCGACTATCAGGTCGACCCACGCTGCAAGCTGAGTTGCGGGCAGGACACTATCGTCGCCCATTTCACTGGCAACCCGAAGCCCACACGGGAAGGAGTTCCGCATGTTAACCTCGTTCGGCACGGGAACATTTCTGTTTGCCAGGGCACCAATTTGGGTGGTTGCCAGCTCTGGTCTAGATATTATTGCGACATGAAGAAGAATGCAAATTACCTTAGCAAGCTGCTCAAACGGACCCTCAGTCAGACGGGCCAGTGCTTGTCGCCCGTTGCGTTGGCGGAGGAGGACGAGGCCGAGGAGAAGGCGAGGCAGGAAGAGGCCGAGCGCAAGGCGAAGACGGCGGCTGAGGCGACGGCGAAGGAGGCGACCGCGAAGCAGGAGGCCGAGGCGAAGGCGAAAGAGGAGGCCGAGGCGAAGGCGCGGCAGGAGGAGGCCGAGCGCAAGGCGAACGCTGCGGCTGAGGCGAAGGCGACCGAAGAGGCCGAGGCGAAGGCGAAAGAGGAGGCCGAGGCGAAGGCGCGGCAGGTGGAGGCCGAGCGCAAGGCGAAGGCTGAGGCTGAGGCGAAGGCGACCGAAGAGGCTGAGGCGAAGGCGAAAGAGGAGGCCGAGCGCAAGGCGAAGGCTGCGGCTGAGGCGAAGGCGACTGAAGAGGCCAAGCGCAAGACGAAGGATGAGGCCGAGGCAAGGGCGCGGCAGGAAGAGGCAGAGCGCAAGGCGAAGGCTGCGGCCGAAGTGAAGGCGACCGAAGAGGCTGAGGCGAAGGCGAAGGATGAGGCCGAAGCAAAGGCGCGGCAGGAAGAGGGCGAGCGCGAGGCGAAGGAGAAGGCTGAGCGCAAGGCCAGGGAGGAGTCTGTCGCAAAGGCGAAGGAGGAGACCGACCGCAAGGCGAAGGAAGAGGCTGAGGCGAAGGCGCGGCAGGAAGAGGTTGAAGCGAAAGCGAAAGTTGCGGCTGAGGCGAAGGCGAAGGAAGAGGTTGAGGTGAAGGCGCGGCAGGAGGAGGCTGAGCCAAATGCGAAGGCTGCGGCTGAGGCGAAAGCGACTCAAGAGGCTGAGGCGAAGGCGAAGGAAGAGGCCGAGGCAAAGACGCAGCAAGAGGAGGCCGAGCGCAAGACGAAGGAAGAGGCTGAGAGCAAGGCGAAGGAGGAGGCTGAGGTCAAGGCGCGGCAGGAGGAGGCCGAGCGCAAGGCGAAGGAGGAGGCTGAGGCGAAGGCGCGGCAGGAGGAGGCTGAGGTGAAGGCGAAGAGAGAGGCTGAGCGCAAGGCGCGGAAGGATGCTGAGGTGAAGGCCATGGAGAGGAAGGCTCAGCGCAGGGCAAAGAGAGCGGCTGAGGCGAAGGCGCGGCAGGAAGAGGCTGAGGGAAAGGCGCAGGAGGCTGATGCGAAGGCGAGGCAGGAGGAAGCCGAGCGCACGGCCAAGGAGGGAGCTGAGACGAAAGCAAAGGAGGAGGCTGAGGCGAAGGCGAGGCAGGAAGGGGCCGAGCGCAACGCGAAGGAGGCGGCAAAGGCGCAAGCCAAAGAGGGGGCTGAGCCGAATGCGACGGATGCAGCTCAAGCGACGGTGTTGCTGAGTTCTAGGACTGAGCTGTCCTGATACGCTCGTGCTGAAATGCAATACATGGCGTGTTCAACCCATCCAAGCTAAACACGGTTCGTGCTGGTTTAGCACGTGTTGGTCTACGGTGCGAACATTCAGATGTGACAAGGCCCAGGGGCCATGCCCAGGGACCTCCGCGCTCCATGGGGGGACCGGGCCACCTCCAGACAGCTCCGAAGCTCCGAGACGGCTCACGAGAGCTCGAGCAGCATTCACGACAGTTTCTGGACGGCGCCAGAGGCTCCCAACGCGCCCCATGACCGCCCTGAGAACGCTCCAAGATGGTCCTCGATGACTTCCACACTCGAGGGGCGCCCCTGGAGGCCCAAGAGGTCCATAACAGAGAGGCTCCTCCAGAGCACATAATGAAGGACATATCTTTGATTTTCCGTAGGTTTTTCGACTTTTTTTCAGTTTCTTGCGAGGGCCCACGACTGCCCACGAGGGCCTAGGGACCCAAGACGGCCCAAGGTGCCAGAGAAAAGATCCCCCAGACGGCGTCTGACGCTCCCAATGTGCATCAAGACCGCCCCAAGGGCGATCCAGGACGGCTCAAGATGACTTCCAGACGCTAGAGGGGCATCCTTCGAGGCCAAAGGTTTTACAACAAGTTCCTCCAGAGCGCCGACGGAATGCCAAACCATTGGTTTCCTTTCGGCTTTTGAATGGTTTTGTGTTTCTCGCTTTTTCTGCGTCCTGACCGCCCAAGACGGCTCAAAAGGCTTCCGAGACCGGCCCTGGGACCTTCAAGAAGTTGCCAAGCGAGCCCACGCTTGCCAACGAGGACCCGGGGACGGGCCCAGAGCCACCCAAGATGGCCTAAGGGGGTCCGAAAGAGCCCTCGAAGGGACCACAGGCAAAGTACAAAGCTCCGAACCGGCTCCAGAATGCTCCGGAGTCCTCCACGACTGAGGACAGCACAACCCACCCCCACCCCCGCCAGGACCCCCACTCCTGGCCTGGTGGTCCAGGGGGTCTTGTCTGTGTGTGTGGGTGGGTGTGTGTGTGTGTGTTTTTTCCTGCCACAACACGATAAGAACACCCCCACCCCCAGCCAGGATCCCCTGGATCACCAGGTCGGGGGTGGTGATCCTGGCAGGGGTGGGGCTGGGTTGTGCTGTTTTCAGCGACAGCCTCCGAATGGCGCAGGAGACGCCCCGAGATCCCGAGACCTCCCCAAGAGAGCTCCAAAGCTCCTCCAGCGAACTGAAAGAAGCGAAAATATGGTGTGCTTCTGAGGTTTCGAAAGGTGTTCTGCTTTCCCGTCTCTCGGGGTCCCGACCGTCGAAGACAGCCTCAAAGGCTCCAGGCACCTCACTTGGAAGCCCCAAGGGGCTGCCAAAAGACCACACGACTGCCCACGAACGCACATGGACGGCCCAAGAGGCACCCAAGACGGCCAAAGGGGACCCACAAATTTCAGGGGGAGCCACAGATGAGGAACGAAGTTCCGACACGGCTCAAGCGCGCTCAAGAATCCTCCACGACAGATTCCGGACAGCTTGTGGTCGTCGCGTCGTCCTCCACACGAATGCGACGACGTATGACGACACGACGAATTGCAACGACGCTCGACGACGAGTGTGACAGCGCCTGGAGACCCAAGATGGCTCAAGAGCCGCCTAAGAAGGCCCAAGATGGTTCCAAGATGACCCCAAGAAGGACCCAAGAGGGCGAACACGAACCGAAGACTAAAACATTCCGCCCCAAGAGGCCCCGTGAAGCCCGAGAGGCCCACCAAAGACCCCAAGAGGCACCAAGAGGCCCCTCAGAGACCCAAAGACGTCGAAGAAACTTCAAATCGCCCCCCAAAGAGGCCTCAAGACTGCCTCCAAGGGGCACCCTCGAGGCCACCCACGCGATCCCAACGAACATGCAAGAGGCCTCTGACCCACATCCCAGACACGGAGGCGGAGTGAATCAAAGACCCTTCGGGATGTACAGTCCATGCACAGTTATATGTGTACACATGGCGATGGCAGCGGCAGTAGTCGCGATAGTAGCTATGGCAGACATGGCGGTGATGGCGGTCGCGAGAGTGCCCGTGGCACCGGAGGCAGCTGTGGCGCAGCTGTGGCTAGAACCTACGCGCGTGAGGCGCGCGCGCATGGATCTGGTATTTTTATCTATCTATAGATACAGATGTAGATCTATACTTGGAGGGATAACGTGCGCTACACCCCCTGACCCCCCCGTCACTGTCACGCTCGCACATGCCACCCTCAAGCTCGCAGGCGTGCGGTGGCGTTCGCAGGATATGGCGGCGGCCACTGGTGCTCGCGCACCACCATCGTGGTGCTGGCGTGGCGCGCGCAGGCGCATAGTGGTGCTCCCAGGTATATTCCGGTGGCGGGGCCCTCTGGGCCTTTGTCGGCCCTTGTGGCGCCTTGGTGCTCACGGGCATGTCGCTGGTGCTCGCAGGCATGCTGTGGCGATTGCAACGTAGCACCGCGTTGCTACGCTGTCGAGCTCGCGAGGTGTTGCGTTCTGATCCGCATCGTAGCTGCAAGTCGCGTATTCGTGGCCTGGTTGCCCCCCGCAACGAGGGCGTGTGGATGCGGATGCCGTTTTCTCCGCACACTGTCGTCCAGCAGAAGGAGGATAATGAGGACAACGGCAAAGGAGGCCCAGGAAGAGGATAGGAGGAGCAGGAGGAGGACGAGGAGGACGAGGGAGAGGGACGAAAAGGACAGCTACGATGTCGATTTTCCCGGGCGCCCAGAGCTATCCAAAGTTCCCTGGAGGCCGCCACAAGCCTCCAGCAGTTTTAACAGAGTCAAGAGTTCGCCATATTTTATCAAGGTTGCCCTCGCGTCCCAGCCTTTGTTATAACCTAAGATTTCGGAGTTGTTTGGGCTGATGTCGTATCAGTCGTTCAGACGTGGACGTCCCAATGGTCTTGTATCCTTAATGTTGTTTCCGAACTGGTGAAGTTTACGGTGTCGTTGGCGTTTACGTTCGCGCAGGCCTTGTTGCGACTCCGCTTGTCCCTCCCGTTCTTGAGATACTGGCGTCACAAGCCTGTTGCGAAGTGAACCTTCACAGTGTGCTCGCAGGCTCACTGTGGTGCTCACAGGCACGCTGTGTCTCGCGGTGGCTGTTATGATACTGGTTCGCCGCATTGCTGTGCATCTTGCGGTGCTCTTCTCTTCTGGTGCTGCCCTGGACCTCCGACGGCATCCAGAGAGACTGCCGGCAGTTTTTGGGGGCTTCCAGACAGGCCTCCGAGGGCCTCCAGAGGCGTCCAGACGGCGCCGTCGTCGTCGTCGTCGTCGTCGTCGTCGTCGTCGTCGTCATCCTCTCTCCTCCTTCTCGTCGTTCGTCGTCGTCGTCGTCGTGGCCATGGTCGTGGTTGGCGATGCGCGTCCAAACTTGCGCGGGCGCCGCCGTGATAACCACTCCCGCCGCCCCCCTCCTTGCCGTGACCCCCCCCCTTGCCTCCCCTCCCCCCCAGGGTAGGAGGGGACGATGCGCTCAGATTTACATGTTCAATCTGCGTGTCGAGCTCGTGTAAGCACGCTCAGGGTTGCGTGTTGCGTATCAGGGCAGCTAATTCCCCGGAGGACCGTTCTAAATGATACTGGTCTCCATTACGAGGGAACTCTCATGGATATCAGGAAGAAGCTGGAAGATGCAATGTCGGCTCTCCCGCAGATTTCAGAGACCGCACCAGTACGCAGGGCTTTGCAGATGCGGCTGGATGAAATCACCAAGAAGCAGCTGGAAGACTCCATCGCGGCGCTCCCCGATATGCCCGAAGTTGAAAAAGCACGCATCTCATTGCAGGAGCAGCTGTTCGACGTGAACGCCCGCATCCGGTAGGGCATCATTCGTTCCATGGGGATGCGCAAATTGTTCTGCGCTAGCGTTCAGTTCCTCCTCTACAGGAAGAACGCCCAAAAATAGTCAAACATGATATGGGGAGATGTTTCTATTATCTTTGGACTGTTTCGGTGCATGTTCGACTATGCTTCATATTTTACTTCCCGAATCCGACTGTATGGAGGTCATGCCCGACCCCACGCTAGCGCTGGAAGCGCGGACGGGCCCGTGCCTTCTCGACGCACGACCTCCGTGCCACAGCCCCAACAGCAGGGCCTCCCCGCCTCGACGACCGCGCAGCGGCTTCTCCCCTGCCCGGGCTCGGCGCTTCGTCGCAGCGGCCGAGGCGCGAACCTCGAGCGTCCGAGGACGGCCTCTCTCCAGCGGCGCTGGGCCCCCTCTCCTCGCACCTCTCTCGGGCTGCAGCTGCAGCTGGGGGCCTGCCGTCGGCATCGGCGCCGGCAGTTCCTCGGCCGAAAACCGGCCTGCTCTGGCACAGCCCCGCCTGATCCAGCTAGATTCGGCCCACCACAGCTCAGTCCTGGCATCACTCGGCCTGATCTGGCTTCATGGCCCTTCAACATGCTTCAAGTAGAGTAGACTCCAGATTCCGCTCAAGAGAATCGAGAATCTTGACTGGACCCTGGGCGTTGTCTTAGAGTTTTTTTCTTTGTAGAGTTTGCGTTGATCTGGACCCAGACTACTGTTTAAGCCAACGCCTGGAGTGAAGCCCATGCCCTGAGCTCAGAGTTTTCTTAACTCTGGGCAGGGGTGTACACTGGCTCTTCACCGTTCTTGCGACGACCTCCCAGGATCAGCATCGTGTAACCGACCCCCACCCCCACCCCCATCCCGAGTCCCACCATCTCGCCACCCCCCGTCGGGGATATATACCCCTCGAAACCCGAAGGAAACTGCCCACATCCCCACCTGGGGGGGGGGGCACATCGGCCAGCGGGGCCCAGGCCACGCCCATAGGGGGATGAGGGTCGGTGAAGCGATGCTCACAGGAGTGGCCTCCCCACCCTGGCGGGCAGAGCGCGCCGGGGTGCGCCCCGGACGCCGACCCCCAGCGGCTGCGGGGGGAGGACACCCAGGGGCGCAGCTGAGGAGAGGCCGGCCCCCGCGGACGTCCGAGGTCGGGGGCCTTGAGACGGGGGTCAGCGTCGGCGGGGGTCGGCCAGAGCGCCCGATCTTGCAGGATGCTGCAGGGCCAGGGTCGCACTGACCCTGGCTTGGGTGCAGGATCCTGCAGGATCTGGCAGGATCCTTCGCACTGGCCAGGGCTTGTGTGCAGGATCCTGCAGGATCCTGCAGGATCCTGCAAGGCCCGACTGACCCGGGTCTGGATTGACCTGGGTCAGAAGATCCCCGACGAGGACTCATGTTTCACGGGCGGCCTCGGGGGGGCGGACGCTTAGCTCAGGAGCGAGTGAGGGACGTGCACGTATACATGAATCCATGTTGGTCTCGAACGTGCGCGTAGCGCGAAGTTTCGTATCACGAGGTCGGTCTCGCCGACTGGCTGGCCGTATTCATATACGTGGTTGGGCGCGTACGTCTTTTTGAGGGCTCCCTATCGGGGTGGGTGGAGGCTTAGTTGTTCTTGGAAGCGGCAGGGCGGTTTTGTACCGTTTCCAAGAGTCTTGAGAGAACGGTTCGACGAGACGGAGAGACGACTCCTGGATTGGAACTGGAGCCCGAACCGGAACACAAACGGTGCCAGAACCGGACAAGAACGGCAAACCGCAAACGGACAAAAAGTGGTTTTGCCGTTTCCAAGAACCGCTAGGGCTGCGGAGGTGCGGAGAGGTCAGGGGCAGAGTTCGGGGGGGATAGGCTCAGGGTGAAGGTTTCGGCAGTCTTTGCAAGTTTCCGAAGCCCGGGGTGTTTTCCATCAGCTGCGCTTCGTCGAGCGCATTCGGGCAGGTCACAGATCGTCCCGAACGGCCGCCGGAGGCCCGAGTTAGGGCCTGAATGCCATCGGCAACGGTGACTTGCTCAGGGAGGGATGCATCGACCCCGGTCATCTACTCGTCGCCGGTGGGGGCCCTTCTAGCCCACCCGTTCCAGGAACGTGTGGATTCGCCATCGGGGGTCTATCGCGGATCCATCGGCGAGGTGTCGCCGATTTCATGTCGATGGGTTCCACCTCGAAATGGAAGGGTTTGACGGGCCTAAAATCTAGATAAATCCGTTCCAGAGCGTTCCAGAACGCTCTCAGAGCGTTCCGGAACGCTCTGAAACGACCGCGTCGCCCGATTCTGTCTCCGAACCCGCCGAT